GCCAGGGTTGAGGGTTTAGGGTTGAGGGTTTAGGGTCCAGGGTTGAAGGCTTCGGGTTTTAGGGTTGTTTACGGTTAGGTTTTTCAGGTTTAGCATGTTAGGGGCTTCACCGCCTAGCGGCTTTAAGCGTGTTGGTTGCATCTCTGTCTCTTCTCTCTCGCACTCTCTCATTCGCTAAGTTCTATGGGTTTGTAAGTTGATTTTCGGGGAAACTTACTCCAGCGGCCATGAATCATCAGGTCTAATGAACACTACGCTTTCTGCGCTTTCTGCGCTTTCCGCGCTTTCCGCGCTTTCCGCGCTTTCCGCGCTTTCCGCGCTTTCTGCGTTTTCCGCGTTGTCCGCGTTAGACGCGCCTTGTGCGGAAGACGCGTCGCGGGAGAGCATGTGCATGGCAGTTCCCGCGCTTTGTGTAGGAACAAAACTCTCGCAAATTTTTAAAAATGGTGTTTCCTAAGCTCCTCAGCTCCTCAGCTCCTAAGCTCCTAAGTTCCTAAGCTCCTAAGGCCCTAAGCTCCTAAGCTCCTAAGCTCCTAAGCGGCCAAGGTCCTAAGCTCCGAAGCTCCTAAGCGCCTAAGCGGCCAAGGTCCGAAGCTCCTAAGCTCCTAAGCGCCCAAGAAGCTTCTAAGCGCCTAAGCTCCTGAGCGCCTAAGCTCCTAAGCGCCTAAGCGCCTAAGCTCCTAAGCTCCGAAGCTCCTAAGGCTCCTTCGCTCCTGAGCGCCTAAGCTCCTAAGCTCCTAAGCTCGTAAGCTCCTAAGCGCCTAAGCGGCCAAGGTCCGAAGCTCCTAAGCTTCTAAGCGCCTAAGCTCCTGAGCGCCTAAGCTCCTAAGCTCCTAAGCGCCTAAACTCCTAAGCTCCGAAGCTCCTAAGGCTCCTTCGCTCCTGAGCGCCTAAGCTCCTGAGCTCCTAAGCTCCTAAGCTCCTAAGCTCCTAAGCGCCTAAGCGGCCAAGGTCCGAAGCTTCTAAGCGCCTAAGCTCCTGAGCTCCTAAGCTCCTAAGCGCCTAAGCGCCTAAGCTCCTAAGCTCCGAAGCTCCTAAGGCTCCTTCGCTCCTGAGCGCCTAAGCTCCTAAGCTCCTAAGCTCCTAAGCGCCTAAGCGGCCAAGGTCCGAAGCTTCTAAGCGCCTAAGCTCCTGAGCTCCTAAGCTCCTAAGCGCCTAAGCTCCTAAGCTCCGAAGCTCCTAAGCGCCGAAGCGGCCAAGGTCCTAAGGCTCCTGAGCTCCTAAGCGGGCAAGGTTTTAAGCTCCTAAGCGCCTAAGCTCCTAAGCTCCTCAGCTCCTTAGCTCCAAGGTCATTCCGGGACATTCCCTTGCAAAATTCATGGGGTGTGCGCGCGCTAGTTCGTCGAAAAAATTTGATATGGGGACCATAGTAAAGTTTGCTGGGTGTTCTGGGTTTTATTGGGTTTTACTGGGGGTATGCACTGGGGGTAGACCCCCCCCCTTCCCTCTTTTGGGTTCCTCACGTTGCGCATTGCTACGGGGGACGCTTGATGCGCAGACGGCGCAGGACACCATGTATGTGTCACTTTAGCTGGTTGAAAATCTGTATTTCATGGGCAGCTTAAACAGAAAACCGTCTTTCTTCATGGAAAGCTTATTGAAAGTCTGTATTTCTTAATGAAAAGCTTGCTGAAAATCTGTATTTGTTCATAGAAAGCTTGTCCAAAAACCGCATCTCTTCATTGAAAGTAATTGGAAATCTGTATGTCTTCGGACAAAAAAAGAAAGTCTATTCAAATTGTGTACTGTCATCGAACGAAAGGTGCTTGAAAATCGGCGTTTCTTATTGGGAAGCTTACTTTTAACGCTACGCGACCCGCCTCGGCCCGGCCCAGCGCATGATTGTGTACTGTCATCGAACGAAAGGTGCTTGAACATCGGCGTTTCTTATTGCGAAGCTTAATTTTAACGCTACGCGACCCGCCTCGGCCCGGCCCAGCGCATCCGCGTGAGCATGGTGATTCCGCAGCGCCCAGGGTTCCGGGTTTATGGCTTGGGGTTTGGGGTTTAGGGTTGAGGGTTAGTTTAGGATTGAGGGCTTAGGGCTCAAGGTTCACGCTTTGGGTGTGCTTCGGGCTTAAGGTTTAAGGGGGGGTTGGGGGGGGGGGCAGGGGGGGGGTGGGGGGGGAGGGGGGGGGGTTGGGGGGGGTAGGGTGGGAAAAGGGGGCTGGGAGCTGCCTCTGGTCCTGGCGAACCGTCCGCTTGCGGACCCCGCTTTCTTAGGGGGGGTACCCATTTGAGGCCAAAAGGGTATTGGGTGTGTGGGGGGTGACGGGGTGACAACCTATGCACCTCCGGGCCGAGGCCTCGGCGGATTAGTGAACATCCCACGAACCCTCAGCCATTGTTGAGTTAGGCTTACGTAGACTTTGTGGAGTTGGGCGTTTGCAAGGCTCAACAAATCCGAGGGTTCGGGACAGCTCGGTCGTTAACGGCTGAGGGCGTGCAAATCTGTAGCCCATCGACAGTCTGCGTTCTTGGTGGAAAGGTTATTGCAAGTCTGTATTCATTCAGGGAGAAATCAGGAACATTCCCTTGCAAAATGCCCGGGTATCCGCCGCATAGGTGAATCTACGAAACTTCTGGACGTTCTCGTTCTCCCAGACAAAGCACACTATGCACCGACGCATTCCCTCCTGAGGCAGCTGGCGATGATTGGCAGCTTTTGCAGCAGCGGGTGACAAGGTACAGGTTTCGTACGTAGACGCTTTCGCATTGCTGTTGTACTTGTCAAGTAGAGGGCTTCACTGTAGTCTGGCCTCACACACGTCTGTCTTTAGCTCATGACCTGGCAACTGGCCTCTAACCTTCAGACTCTCTGCGCCAGGTTAGAGCGTCTGCACAACGTGCAGAGCCATTTCACTATGAGACGAGGCTTCTTTTTCCTCGCAGAGTGATTGAAGCTGAGATGTTGGCCCCAGACACCCAAACGAAAACCTGGATATGTATACCATAAATCCTCAACCCTAAAGTTCATTCCGCCGCGGGGCGAATGGTGGTTTTCGCTGCGGTGTGATGAGGCCAGCTGATGAGTCGGCTCTCGACATGTTTTCCGCCGTCTGAAGCTGGCTCGTTCAGGTCTTCGATTTTGGGGGTTCAGGCGTTTAGAAGTCTGGTGAGGCCAGCTGATAGTCGGCTCTCCACATTAGGACTTCGGGGAGTCAGGCTTTTTGGGGGGCTGGGCAACCAAGAGTCCACGCGAAAGACTGTTCCTGCCGCATCGAGAAATACTCGTGACACCGGCACTTGTCAGTACTTCCAGCGAGCCTCAAATTATGCCGGAAAGATGCGGAGAATCACTGACCTTTTGTTTTCTTGGTTTCGAATCTGTGGAAAATAGGTGGAGTATCTAAAGCACACTTGCTCCGTGTTTCTGGAGAGGGAAGGTTAGGGTTGCGGTTTCGGGCTCAGGGCTTCTACGGTTGGGCCGAGTTTAGGGATCAGGGGGGGCTCTCTATAGTTTCGACATGGGTTGCGCAGTGCTCGGTGCGAAGGAGAGAAAAAAAGGAATGTGTAGCAGACATGGCTGTTGTAAAGCAGCCCCCAAGGGAGCATTCCGACATCCATCGTACTTTGCTTTGTTGGCGCTCCGGCCACACCACCCTGATCCAAATATACTGCTGAAGCCCTTGCAATAAAGTTGCGCCTGCTCTTACCCTTCTCTTGGGTGACGCAGATGTCTCGATGTTGCGTGCTGACCTTTTTTACAACGGACTGTGAAAGGGATACTGCACGTCTGTGGGACAAGATGCATTTCACAACCTGTCACGCCGTCTTTGAACATGCCCACATGCTTTGTGCAACGTACTGGGTGAGGGGGGGGGGTTTAACTCGCATCGCTCGGTGTACACATCGATCGGCGTCCACATTGGGGTCTTGCAATTCCGCGCAGGACCCGACACTGAGCCTAGCTGTCCAGTTTTCAGCCTATGCAACGTCCACAATGGTGTCTGGCGTGCAAATCGCCCCACGCCCATGGTCGGAGGAAGAGCCTGCGTCAAACAGCCACATTGGAGTTTTGCCTGAACCAAGCTGCCACCACGGCTTCAGTTCGTTGAAGGCAGCTGGCAGGAAGTTTCCGCGCTAGCTGGTCTAGCACACATTTTCTATGTCAAAAGCAGTCTCCATCGCAGGGTTTGGTGCACCAGACACATGCAGCAGGCCGTCGGGCAGGCAGTGTGCGCTCGAGCAGGTGCAGGTCCCAGGCGTCTAACGCACAAGTAAAGGCTTCGAAGATCAACGTTCCGTATGTTGACAAAAATCGAGTGTCTCCTTCGGGATTTGCTGCCAAAAGGTATGCCAGATTGATGTACAAATGGCTGGAAACATGGGCGTCCGCGAGGCTCGGCGGATTTTGAGGTCTCAGTGGCTGACCGCCGAAAACAGAGTCCGCGTTGGGGTTTCGTATCTTGTGATGTGTATTCTCTCGAATGATGGGTAATTCTCTGCGGTAGCATCCACATTGGGGTGATGTGTTTTTCACTGTCTGACGTGTGTTGACGCCCCCCCCTTGTGATGCGCAAAGATGCTTGCTGACGTGTCACTACTCGAACATAGGCGCATGGACGGTGGTTGTCCATCCCACGCTTCTATCAGACAAGGTTCTAGCGGTTGACGCCAAAAAGGGCCGCCAGCGAGTGTCTCGTGGGCTGCCAACTGTCATAGTGCACGGGACTGAGTCTCGAGTTAATCCACTGGACTGCTGCGCCTCCAGACCGCCCTTTCCTTCTCGAGCAGACTTCACCCCAACAGTTCCAACAATTCCAACGCCGTGAGTGCTCGAGCTTCGCTCCAGTTTCCAACCAACCGCTTGCTGCTTCAGGCACCAATGGACACTAGCCCGTTCCACACATGACTCACACGCGCAATGCAAACCCCGTAACAAGCAGTGCTGCAGGTGTTGTCGAACATCGGTCCGAAAGGCATTTTTTGCACCACCTCGTTGTCCGTGAGTCCGGTTCTTCCGTCCTGTCTGCAAACACATTGGCTTCCGCGGCCAGATGTCTGACGAGTTCGCGACCCTGGTTCGACATTACCAGCTGGCAGGGCCCAAAGCAGTGAAGACAATAGTACTGCCTCATGGATGTTTGTTCACCGTGCCGCAGGCTGCCAAGGTGGCCAACGCAGGGAATACCTCCAAGGCGCATCTTTCGTAGCTCTGTTGTAAACACATGCCTCTGTCCTGCGTGCAAATCTATAAGGCAGACGACCTGGAGATGCGCCTGCCGGATGGCCTGCCCTTGAAGCAGGTGCAGAAAAACTGTGCTAGCGCAGTGAATTCACCTCATCCGCCGAGCGCAGTAATGCTTGAGTCGCAGGGAACGGATGGTTATGACCCCACGAAGCAGGCCGTGGAACAGCGGCCATGGCGCTTTATAACAGCTCACTGCATGGCTCAGATGTCCTTCCCAGAGCACATCTGTCGCCTGATGGCGGCGCTCTGAGTTGCATTCCAGCGGCTCCAGCAACCATGCTAAATCGTCACTCGTCCTTCCTTGTCTTGTCGTCAGGACGGGCTCCATCCTGAAGAATATCTGGACCAACGCTGTCAACTCACGCTGCGCACGCCCGTGCAGATCTAAGTTGAACGCTTGACCCTGCTGTGAATGCGCTGAAGTTACGCAACCCGGTTCAAAGCCACGCTCCCCTGTATCAGTAAAGGCACTTGTGAATCTCACGTGTGCCCTGTCTTCGTGTCCTGCTAGGCTGGAGTGGTGGTCATCAACAAGGACCTTTCGTTGATGCACATACCATTTCCGCACACATGCAGATACAGCGCAGGCATGGAAGGATGAGATGCCGATGCCGCGCAAGGGCGAGGAGGCTAGCCGGCTAGCCACAGCAAGCAGAGTCTGACAGCCAGAAAACGGTGTTTGTGTAAACGAGGCAAAAAAATGCTGTGGCCAGAAAAAGAAGGCTCCATGTCCCAGCGTGCGTATTTAGAGCACTTCCATGTCCAGCGTCGGCAGCCGCTGTGTGTTTGCGAATGCCTGTCGTTCAGGTTTCCAAGAAGCCCAAGCTGCAGAAGGCTCGCTTCGTCGCACCACGCTTGCGCGTGCCCCTTGCTTGCGCCATCGGAAGGAAACGGTCGAGGACCGTTTCCTGGAGGCTGGTCAAGGCGACCAGACACGCTTTTGCCATGCCGGGCGCAACTTGCAGGAGTGGGAATCATTCGTCTTGGATGAGGCCATGAAGGCAGGTCCCTGACGTCCCTGACTCTGAGAGAGTCGCCATCACTGCTGTTGCTGACTCGCAAACTGCCAGGAAAATGAGCTGAACCTTGGGCTCAACATGAACATTCCTTGGTGTCGAGCTCTAAGAACTTCAACAAGTGCACAAGTGCGTGAACGCGTTTACTCTTGCCTGCGTATCAGGTGATGCGCATTGCTGGGGAGAAAGTACACGGAGATGGCGCAGACAGCAGGTCAGGGCCAGGCCCGAAAGTTGTTTATTGGGCAATGCTGAGAGTGACAACGCATCATGCCCGACTTCAGGTTGCAAGACCGTGTTTGGCGCAAACAGCTGCGTCCAGCCAGTGCACGCCTGTGCACGTCACCCTGCCCTCGCCGTCCTCTGTCATTCACGACCTGTTGTTCAGGGCCCGTTGCTGCCGCTTTATCAGCTTGTCATTTGTGCCCTAAAGAAAACGGGAGCTCGGAGCAATGTTGGTGGCAGTCCTGCAGTGACCTGACAGGACTGACGGTGCCAAGTCTCCAGCTGTGCGCCTTGCAGCGCGCGGACTCCCTGCACTGGCTGCGTCGTTTGGAGCTTTTGCTGCCCGCGACTCAAACCGAGCAGGTAGCAACAGCGGTGGACGCTTTGCCGGAATTCTTTCCGTCGGGTTTGGTGGTGTACCATAACCCAGGCACGTGCGCCGTGCTATTCCTTCCCGGCAGGCCTTTCCGTTACCTGTCGTTGCAGACTGCCGTGGCTTGGGTCTCCCGGCTGCCCGCCAGCAAAGCCATGCTCTACACAGAGGACTGCGCAGAGAGCCCGGGCCATTATGTTGCATGTGCGCGGCCCTCTGAGCAGCGCAAAGGCTTTGCTGGCGTGGCGCGGCGTCCCCAAGCTTCGTGCAATCCAAAGGGCGACGGGGCCTGTCCTGCTCCCCCAATGAATGGTGCCATGTGGACACCCTCCACTGTGACAGACCTGCCGGCTGCGCCTTCACCTCCCACCATTTCGCTTGCCCAGCTCACCCCTGCCACATCCTGTGCTTTGCCGCGTCATTGCAGTTCTTGCCCTGCCTCTTCTTCTCCCAGGAGCGTCGCCACAACAGTGCTAGACTCGTCCAGGTCTTCCAGGTCTCGTGAAGCGGACGGTTTCGCTTCTGGCAATCTGCCCACCCAGCAGCACGCAGCGTCTCCCTGCTCGTCTCTATGCATTCCTTTGTGGGCCCCCCCCACAAGCAGTGCAGCATCGGTACTTCCTCCCACGCAGGAAGAACTTCAGTCTGCTGCAGCACGGTTTTGCGATGAGGCACAGGGTCAGAGCCAACCAGACGCAGATGAGGACATGTGTGAGTCGCCGCTGCCTTCCGATTACTCAGGGCTCTGTTACTGCGACTCACCAAATGACCGAGCCAGCGTTGACTTCAGCCCTGTGTCCTGCCCCCCCGAAAGCCCGCCAAAAAAAACCTTGCACCTCTCGGACTCAATTGCAGGAGGCACGCCGCAGGACATCAGTCCTGAAGAGAGGATCCTACACACCTCTTTATTTCGGAAGGTTGAGGAATGGGAGGCTCATCAAAACCGCAGGCGAGTGTCTGCTGCGGTGCCTCAGGTTCATGGTCCTTGCAGGTCATTGATGAGGGGGGGTGCGCTGGAAACCGGCCATTACCGCACCGATGCGCTCAATTCTGCTGACTGCTCTTCGCGCTGCTCTGACAGAGGTGCGGGGGTTTCAGGCCATGGTTTGTATATGAACGGTGGCGCCGCGACGCCGCCCGACGTGCAGACCATGTGCAACACCCTGCAAAGCATGGGCGTGCCGGCAGCTTCGGCAAGACAGGCAGCCCGACGGCACCCAGACGATTTGAATGCCGCGTTAGATTGGGCTTGCTCCTCGCAGAGAAGACACACCCGTGTTTGTTTTCCTTCTGCCCGGGCATCCTCCTCCCCCGTCCTTGTTCCAAGCACACCAAGCACGCCGTGCAGCAGAGACGGTGTAGAGAATTCACCTCGCGCTCCAGCTCCCGCAGCCGCGGGTGCAGAGTCTCTGCCACTGCCGGGAATCCCTCGGAGTTGGCAGTGTGCAGCGCCACCGTCGCCTGCCATAGCTCTGCCAGTCCAAGCCACCCGGTCCTGGCTTTACGTGCCCTTGCTAAAAGAGGCTGCAGGGTTGTTAAGTGCAGAGGAGCGCAGGCAGTGGTGTGGGCACCCTCGCATAGGTGCGGATTTCAGGCAGGCAGCAGAGTTTCTCGTCTCCAGCGGCCCTCAGGATGTGCGTCACCTCCATCCAACCCTGGCTCTCGCAGCGCCTGGCCCATTGACGTTAGCCGCTGCCGTGCGCTCCAGCCTTACCGCTGCTGGCTACACCGCTGCTGGCTACATCCCCGCCGAGCTGCAAGAAATTCTGCTGCAGGTCTACAGCCGCGATAATCGCTTTTTCTCCATCCTGCACAACATGGCTGAGCAGGTTCGTCCTAGCCGTCCACTTCCAATGCTGAATGTTTATCAGGACAGCAGCGCGGCTGCCGCCGCCTACTGGCGAGCCCGGCGCGAAGCCATCCATGCAGCTGTGGCTCAGCTCTACACCGCGCATCAGCAGCTGGATCCCCGCGATACCAGTGCCCTGGCTCGCTTGTTCCTAGACCTGCCCGCAGAGTCGCCGGTCCAGCCGCATCATTTCCAGTTGACCGCGCAGGAGGTCATGTCCACGGAGGTGGCGTTGCTGCGACAGCGGCTTGCTGAAAGCCCCTCCTTTGCCGGCACAATAGTCGATGCGTGGCATTCGCCGCTCAACTTGACAAAGTTTGTGCCCTTTTTCCTGGCCGTCCTGTGCCTTTTTGCCGAGAAGTGTGGCGTGGCCCGTGAGTTCCCTCTCTCTTTCATTCTTACCATGTGCGGCTGGGTTTGTCACCAAGACCTCCACGCGTGCTTTAACCCGCGCAAGCCTGAGCACAGAGTGCGGCCCAGAACATTTACTGTGCTCATTGCTGAGTCCAATTGTGGCAAGTCGCCTTTCTTTCGAGAGTGCATCGATGGGCTTTTCGTAACGCACAAGACTCGAAAGTGCCTGGTCGACTTGCTGCGGCCGTGCTTCATGCAAGCAGACAGCTGCTACGGCAAAGACAAAACCCTGTTTGTGTCACAATCCACAAACAGTGACTTTGCCCGACGCATGAAGGCAACTTCCGGGCATGTGTGCTGGATCTCGGAGGAGGCGTGGGGTGTCCTTGATGTGGCTTGGGCCCGTGGGAAGGCTCGGGAGATGTCGGACCGCAAGATCCAGCCCTCATATCTGCAGAACACCCAAAATGGACTCAGCTACGGGCCTCTAAGCATAAATGCAGAGCAGTTCTTTGTTGACACAACGAACTTCGCCATATATCATGCTGGCCAGCCCAGAGTCATTCATGATTACTGGGGCCAAGCTTTCATGCGCACTTGCCCGTTTGCTGGCATGGG